CTACATATACTAACACTACATATACTAACACTACATATACTAACACTACATATACTAACACTACATATACTAACACTACATATACTAACACTACATATACTAACACTACAAACGTGTTTGTGAAGTCAGAGAAAGAATCAGTCTCAACAACCTTTTGCTGTGTGTCTCAGGTGCAGAACGCTCCAGGGCCTTGTGGACTGAGTGGTGGAACAGGTGTTTCCTCAGCTGAAACAGGTGTTTTCTCACCTGAGCACCGGAGTGTCTCAGTGAGGCGAGCATGCATCCCTTCGGCTGTGAAGCTCAGAGCTCTCTTCAGGACCTGTTTGAGTATTTCAGGCGGTGCCTGCATCATGGAGAGTGGCAGCTGGCCAGTGCCTGTGTGCCTCAGCTGCTTCATTCAGCAGGACGACTGTCAGACAAACTGCAGAGCATAGTTAAAGCTATCATCTGCCATCCTTACAGTTTAAAGTGAGTCACGTTCAAACTGTGTACACAATGTAATGATACTGTATGTAACCACAGACAGGAGTATTTATGTTTAAATACAGGAGTACTGTGTGACTGCTGGATTGGTAATAAAAACCTAAATTACAAAAACTGAAAGCTAAATACGGTAAGATAGTAGGAGAAAGCTAAAACCATAAATGGCAACTAAAGTCTGAAACCAACAAAACAGTGGTTAAAAACTGAAATCAACATCAGCGACTAAAAAGTCAAACCCAGCAGAACAATGGCTACAAGTTAAAAACAGCTAAATATAATAGTTAAAAATATCATATCTAAAAGCTAAATCCAAGAAAACAGTAGGTAATGTTAAAATTAGCAAAGCAGTGGCTAAAAAGGCACAACAGTAACTAAAGCCATCAGAACAATAGCTACAACCCAAACCAGTAAAACTTGAGTTTAAAGCTAAAACCAGAAGAACAGTATCTATACCAAAACAAGCAAAACAGTGGATAAAACAGCAGAACTTCAGCTAAAACAACTAAAATGGCAACTAAAAGCTCAATCAATTCAACCATAGCTAAAATCTACAGATAGA